AAATGTAAACACATAGCTTTAAAAAAAAATACATAGCTTTGGGGGGAAAATCCTTTTTTTGGATATTCCCTCGTGTATATATAGTCTTGAATTCATTGTCTTGCTAGGAATCCAGTAAACAGCACTTATATCAAAGAGAGAGTATTTCTTGTCTGGCATCAGCAAGGGGGTTTGAGTTTTGGATTTCATCCCATGGTCCCATTTTTCAGATGCAGAAAATGAGGCTCAGGGTTATGTAACATTCCCAAGGTCAAGCTACAGAGAGGGTGGGGTAGAGGGCAGGAGGAGCGGACACCGAAAGACTGAAACAGCCCAGTTTTGCTCACAGTTTGAGGCAGCCGATAAATGACCTAAACATGCCTCAGAACCACGAGTTCAGGACCCTTACTCAAAGTGGCCACAAAACCCTGTTATCCTGCTTCAAGCAGCCCACGGGGTCCTCTGATCCCATACTTACAAGATCTCAGGGCAAGGGAGGAAATAGGGGACATAGTAGACAGGCAGCCAGTTCTCAACATACACCCTGGGAAAGGAAAAACACCAGTCAACTCAATACCGGGCCAAGAGGCTGAAACCCCACTTAGAACAAATCAGTGGTGTACCTGAGGGTAGGGGTAGGAGCAGGGGTCACTCTTGGGCTCGACATAGGGAGTCACAGGGGTAAGCATTCAGTGACCATTACCATACAGACATATATCCACAGGGCATGGTTCTATGCCAGGCCCAGCACACAGCAGAAAGGGTCAGGTTAGGGATACAGGCAGGTCACACAGGGGCTGTGGGGGTCTCAGGAGGGACTGGCCTCAGGGTTTCCCAGAGGGAATGCAGAGATGAATTTTCTACCTATCTTGGCCACAGGTGGAGGCCCTCAAAACCAAGCCCACTGCCTTCGAGCTGGTTCTGACTCCCAGTGACCCTAAACGGCAGGGTAGAACTGCTCCCTAGGGTTCTCAAAGCTGTGACTCTTTTTTCTTTTCCGTTTTAAAATCATTTTATTGGGGTCTCGTACAACTCCTTACCACAATCCATCCACATACATCCATTGTGTCAAGGACATTGGTATGTGTATGGCCATCATCATTCTCAAAACATTTGCTCTCTACTTGAGCCCTTGGTATCAGCTCCTTTTTTGCCCCATGAAGCTGTAACTCTTTATGGGGGCAGAATGTCTGTCTCATCTTTCTCCCTGAAGCAGCTGGTGGATTCCAACTGCTGGCCCCCTGGGCCCTCAGGATTCCGGCAGGTTGCCAGTCCGGGGTAAAACGCTGAAACTGAGACTAGTCCAGGCTGGGGCTGGGTTACAGGGGCTGCTGAGCCCAGAGGGCGTGAATAGGACCCAGGAAGTCAGTGATGGGCTCAGCATGGGGTTGAGTCCTGGGCTTGGAGTACTCACCATCCAAAGCACAGGCTCACAACGACTAGCAGGCAGGACCCCAGGCCCAGGCTCAGTCTTCTGCAGCGCATCACGGGGGGGCAGCAATCAATCAGTACATGGGCACCAGAGGAGAAGCAGGTCAGCCTTTCCCTGCCCAGGACTGTCCTCTGGGGGCCCGAGTCCCAGGAACACTTGCAAAGTAACGCTCCTGTTCAGGGAAGAAGTCTTGCGTCTGCCTTCCGCTGCAGGGGCTCCCAAGTCCCGCCTCCAAGCACCCAGGGCACACCGAGCTCCGTCTTGGGTAAAGGACTCTCACCAGCACAAGTGACTTCACCTCTTCGACCCTGGGCAAGTCACTCCCGCTGGGCTCCTGGCCCAGCTTCCTTAAAGAAGTCGGGCAGGGTCAGCGGCGGCGGCTACCACGAGTCATTGCTCCCGGGCCCCACGAGACCGACGCGCACAAACTCCTGAGAAGCGCACGGCACAAGCGCTCACCGCTGGGAGCGCGGATCCCTTGGCATATAGGCACAAGCGCGCGCTGCGGTGAGCGCCGGGCCCCTTGCCAGCTGCGGGGCGGTCTGCCCCGGGTCCCAGAAAGATCCTCGGGCCGCCTCCCTCCCTCCCTCGGTGGTTTCAGTGTCCCCTCCCCGTCATGGGGTGCAGCATCCGGCAAGCCCCTTCCTCCTGACTTGGGCCCCGCGGCCGGTCCCGGGAGAGAAGCGCAATTGGACTTCCGCCCGCCATTCTCGCTGCGGAGTGGACCCGAGGGCCACAGGCACTCTTCCCAGGGGGAGCACTCACCCTGGACGCCCCGCGCGGCTGCAGGATGGACGCGGCGTGGCCGCCCGGCCCGGATACCCGGTTCTGGCCTCTTCGAGGAAGCGGCGCCCGGGCTCGGCTGGGCGTGGGAGATCCCAAAGCCGGGTGGAGCCCCGGGGGGCGGGCCGTGAGCGGGAAGGAGCCGCTGGGCCCTCCCCCGCCCGGTGACACCCCCACCCCCACCTCCCAACCGGTCCACCTCCGCTAGAGCGCGAGCGCGCCCCCGTCCCCGGCCTTTGCGCGCGCGTCCAGGTTGTTTTCAACTTGGTTTTGACCCCGGGGAGTCGCCCTTGCAACTTTCGAAACGGATTATAACCTGTCACTCACTCCTTGCTTGGGGTCGATCCCTACTCCTGCGACCCTGTAGGACGGGGGTGGACTGTTTGTAGAGTGACTATAACGATTCATAGAGAGTAGCAAGCCGGGTCCTTCTCCCGCTGAGCAGCTGGGGGTTCCGGGCTGCAGACCTTGCCGCGGGTTAGCAATTCAACCCGTAAGGATTAACGTACGGAACAGTGGACACGACTGTGTGTCCAGAGAAACACCCGTGCCTACGGGGGTAAGTAAAAAAAGGGTCGCCACAAAATCACAGAAACATTTACTCAACCCAAGCATCAAAATGTGCACCTACAGTCCCTTGACCTAATAATCGCCATCTACACTTCTGATGGAGGCGCTTCGACCTCGAACCTTCCCCTCGCCCAGCGAAGTCTCACTGCCTGATTGACACCATGCTACCAGGGTCGTTTCGGCGTCTCTCGGGGGGACTCTGGGGAAATGCCCCTGGAGTGTTGGGAACCAAAGTAAGGCTGTAGGAGGTTGTGGTCAGGCTTCCCAAGGAGAGTCTCCTGGGACAGTCGTTGCTATGCTACAACTCAGAGGTGCCTTGTCGTGATGGAAAAGGAAATTGTTTGGTGAAACTTTCCTGACGTTTTCCTCATTTTAGAGTTCTCTTAAAACTTCCCTAGAGAGGAGACGAGCCAGTCAGGGGGCGATGGAGCAACGATGAAAAATACAACTTTCCTCTAGTTCCTAAATGTTTCCTCCCCGCTCCCACTACCATGACTCGAATTCGACCTTGCAAGTCTGGCTAGACCAGAGGAGGTACACTAGTACAGACAGGAACTGGAAATACAGGGAATTCAGGGCAGATGAGCCCTACAGGACCAGTGGTGTGAGTGGCGAAACAGGGACGGTAGAGGGAGAGTGGGTTGGAAAGAGGGAACCGATTACAAGGAACTATATGTGACCTCCTCCCTGGGGGACGGACTACAGAAAAGTGGGTGAAGGGAGATGTCGGACAGGGCAAGATATGACAAAATAACAATTTATAAACTATCAAGGGCGCATGAGGGAGGAGGGAGGGGAAAAATGAGGATCTAATGCCAGGGGTTTAAGTGGAGAGGAAATGTTTTGAGAATGATGAGGGCAATGAATGTACAAATGCGCTTTACACAATTGATGTGTGTATGGATTGTGATAAGAGTTGTATGAGCCCCTAATAAAATGATTTAAAAAACAAAACAAAAATAAACTTCTTCCCTAGAGTGGGGGGAGGGTGGGGCAGAGAGGGGGAACCGATTACAGGGATCTGCATATAACCTCCTCCCTGGGGGGACGGGCAACAGAAAAGTGGGTGAAGGGAGACGTCAGACAGTGTAAGCTATGACAAAATAATCATTTATAAATGATCAAGGGTTCATGGGGGTGGGGAGCAGGAAGGGATGGGGGAAATGAGGAAGTGATGCCAGGGCCTTACTTGGAGAGCAAATGTTTTGAGAATGATGAGGGTAACCAATGTACAAATGTGCTTGATACAATTGATGTATGTATGGATTGTGATAAGAGTTGTACGAGCCCCCAATAACATGATTTAAAAAAATTCTTCCCGAGAAGCCCCCATGATCACTTGTGTCCTTTGAAAAACTCTATCAAGATTACCCCTTTGTAATTAAAAACAGACAAAATCACCTGGCATAACCTTCTAAGGTGACCTCTGTGCCTTGAATTTTACTGGCCCAGCCGAGCCCCTCGGAAGCTACTTATTTGTTGAAAAAGGAGCCCTGGTGGCATAGTGGTCAGCAGTTCAAAACCACGAGCTGCTCCTCCTGAGAAGGAGAAGGCTTTCTACTTTCCGGAAAGAGTTACAGCCTGAGAAACCCACAGGGGCTGTTTTGTACCATCCTATAGGGCCCCTATGAGTTAGAATCTAATCAGTTCATTGGGTTGGGGATAAACCCATTTGTATACAAACTAGAACCCTAGTGGCAGCATTTTTTTTAAAACTTACCTTTGTACATACGGAGCTCTGGTGGCATAGTCGTTCAGAGTTGGGCTACTAACCTCAAGGTGAGCAGTTTGAACCCAGCAGCACTGCCAGGGGCAGAGAGATGGACTTTCTAGTCTCCTAAAGCGTTACAGTCCTAAGTTAGGCATCAAGTCCACGTGGAAGAAACACCAACTTGTGTGATCCAGATTGTAAATAATAAAACCTAAATCCACAGGAAAGCATTGTATCAGAGCTTGAATTGTGAACACCTGGCTTGCAGAAGGCTGTGAATGACAGTGATGTCCCAAATCCATTTGCATGGACCCCACATGGATCACGTCTCCAGGAATGCTCTCTGACCATCGTCAAGGGATAGGAAAACCCTGCTATCAGACCGTGAGCATTGTGAATTTGATTATGGCAGATGTAGTTAGGTTCAAATGGAAAACCCCATCATTCAATCTCCCTTTTGACTCATTTTAAAGTTGTTTCAGTTTTTAATATTTTCTGCTTTCTCTTTGATTGAGATTTTTCTGCATTTTATCTAGTCATTGTTGGTTTTTTGTTTGTTGCTGCCATTTGCTTTGTATGCTTTTGCTTGCTTTGTGCTTTCTTTTGTATGATTTTCTGTATAAGAAATGCAGGATAGGTAGATCTATAGAAACAGTAGCAGGGTAGGGGGATGGGAGGATGGCAGGAGATGGGGAGCTAACAACGATGAGTATGGAAGAAAATGTTTTTAAAATGATTGTTGTCTCAAGGATGACCTGCCATCTTGAGTCTAGGGTCCGCCCATCTTGTCACATGTGTACCTTTAGTACCTCCCCTTCCTATTACGTGTATACCCCTAGCTCATCCCCTTCCTGTCATGCATATGCTTACTGTCCAACCCCTTCCTGTGACATATGTGGTTACCTGGTAATCAGTGGGGCTTGCATGCCCCCAGTATATATAGGCCTTGGTCAGAAATAAAGAGCATATGCTCTCTCCTCCCTCCACCTCTTCCCACTCTCTGTGTGGACCTGGCTGCTTAGATCATGGCTGTCCTAGACGTGAGCATGCTACCATGAAAAAAAAAAAGATTACTGTAATGATTGCACAAAATTTTACTGGGCGCTCTTGCTGAGCGCATTTCTGGCTAAATAAACAGCTGGGCTCTGCAAAAAAAATTTTTAATATGATTGAATGATTAAATTGTGTGATATGTGAAAAAAAACTGTGAGCTATCACTTCATAACAACTAATAAAAAACAGACGTTATAACTAGTATGGCAAAAATGTGGAGAAATTGGATCCCTTTATCCATTGATGTTGTATATGTAAGTTTATTAAAAAAATTACTTCTTGGAAACAGTTTGCAATTCCTCAGAAAGTTAGATATAAACTTCTCAACTGGGGGAAAAAATTAAAACATTACAGTCGCAGAAACTCACCGGTGCTGTTCCACTCTGTCTATAGGGTGCTGAGTTGGCTTCGACTTGATGGCAGTGAGTTTGGTTTTTCGGTTTTGTATGTAGACAATTGATTTTTAATAAGGTGCCAAGTACATTCTATGGGGGGAAACTGGTTTCTTCTTTAACAGATGGTTCTAGAAAATCTGGATGTTCCTGTACAAAGGCATGAAGTTGGACTCAGCCTATACAAAATATAACTCAAACTGGATCAGCAAGCTGAATGTGGCAGTTACATCATCTCCTGTCAGCTTGAGCGGAGGGGTGGAGTCTAATCTGTCAATCAGGTCCTAGCCAATCATGCCTCTGTGTGGGCATGGCCTTCTCCTGAGGATTCTAGGAATGCCTGTCTTCCTCCCTGGAGGTGAGACACCCACACGCTCTCTGCTTTGTCTTCTTGCTGACAAGCCACATGGAGCTATGCTGATGGCAGCCAGGGCCCTGGAGCTGGAGGAGCCACATGGAGACCCATGTCAGGGCTGAGATGCTATCACCACTGGATCCACAAGACTTTCCACCCACTGGCCTGTGATCTTCCTGTATTCAGCATCATTGTCTATGTTGTGTGAGTCTTAAGAGGAATTTATAGACTGGTATCAGACATCTGGGCTAATATCAGACTTATGGACTTGATCTGGACCGGGCTGGCATGCTTTCTTAATATACAATTACTCTTTGATATGAAGTTCTCTCTTACAGATATATGAGTGTCAGTGAATTTGTTTCTCTAGTCTACCCGGACTGACACACTAAGGATAAAAGTTAATGATTAAAAAAAAAAAAAAAGTTAATGATATAAAGCTGGTGGGGGTGGGGGTAAAGGGAGCTGATGTCAAAGAGTTCAAGAAGGAAGAAAATGTTTTGAAACCGAT